AATTATCATGTATATGTTATTTTGGATCTACTTTTAAAAAGTCACATTGATTATTATGTATTTCTATGATATTAGTAGGTTCTCTCAAATCATTTCTATAAACTTATTAAAACATAAAATTCAATTGCTTTGCCTTATTAGTTGTTGTAATTGGTTGAAATTATTTTAGGTAATTTGTAGCATATTTATAATTCTTTCATTCCATAATATTGTTGTGATCTGCCAAGCTTTTAAATTTGAGAATCTAACCATAAGCTTCATGACTATAGCTCTTTCTTGGTCTTATTGAATGTATTTAGTATTTAGTGGTCAAATGATTATAACTACTGACACTGTAATCTTCATTAAGCACTGTTTCTCTGCATCATTTTTGACCCAAGTGTTCAAAGCATATATCAGCATAATTTAAATATACACATAATATTGTATAGCTATTCCTTTTTTTATTTAAAAATGGGTTCTTTGGTGTTTCCTATTTGTTTTCCTTTAAGAATTTTTTATTAAGCATATTTGCTGTTTATTTCAATAAAATTAAAAATCTAATTTATTTCAGGCTGGGTGCTGTGTCTTGCGACTATAATCTCAGCCCTTTGGGAGGCCAGTGGTAGAATTGCTTGAGCCCAGGAGTTCAAGACCTGTCTGGGCAACATAATGAGACCACCCTCCTCTCTACAGGAAAAAAAAAAAAAAAAGCTCAGCATGGTGGCAGGCACCTATAGTCCCAGCTACTCAGGAGGCTACAGGAGGCTCAGGGGGGAGGATTGCTTAAGCCCAGGAGCTTGAGGGTGCAGTGAGCTATGATCCTGCCAGTGCACTCCAGCCTGGGCAACTGAGCAAGATCCTGTCTCAAAAAATTATTCCAATAAACCAGGGTTATTCTTAAGGTATTGACCATCTAATATGCCTGCATATTCCAGTTTATTCCAATAAAACTGAAAATAAAATGTGCTTTCTTTGACATTTTATTGTCATAATTAATAGAATTAGAAGTGGTCAATTTTTTTCAACTGTTTACTTGTTGGATCTGACCTGGTAGAATTGAAAAATAAAGAAACTGTTTTAATGTTAAACACCAAATTCTGAAAGCTTTCTGTTAGACTAGGCTAAATAGGAGAAAAATCGGGAATTTGTTTTCATATAGCTATTTTTGCACTTTGTGACATACGCTATTTACCTCCAAAATCTAGTCATATCTTTTCTAATATATTCAGTTTATTCACTCTATGGACCTTCATGAGTGTTTATTTAGCAAGAAAATTTATTGGTCTTGGTCGTAACTTCTTGGTCTTTTTTCTTAATGGTTAGATTCTATTCCACGATTGGCAATCTTTTTCTGAAAAAGGCTAGTGTCTCAGTCCAGTAGGACTGTTGTAACAAAATATCATAAACTGGGTGATTTATAAACAACAGAAATTTATTTCTCACAGTTCTAGATTCTGGGAAGTCCAAGATCAAGGCTCCTTCAGGTAAACTGTCCTGAGGGTCTCCTTTCTCATAGAAAGTTCGTCCTCACGTGGTGGAAGGGACAGCAAGCTCCCCTGGGGCCTCCTTTATAAAGGCGCTATTACCATTCTTAAGGGCTCTACCTTCATGACCTAATCACCTCCCCAAGGGGAACATCTGCTAATACCATTGGCAGGCCTTTGAGCATCTCCTAATACCATTGTCAGGCCTTTGAGCCCAAGCTAAGCCATCATATCCCCTGTGACCTGCATGTACATCCAGATGGCTTGAAGCAACTGAAGATCCACAGAAGAAGTGAAAATAGCCTTAAGTGATGACATTCTACCATTGTGATTTGTTCCTGTCCCACCCTAACTGATGCATATATTCTCCCCCACCCTTAAGAAGGTACTTTGTAATATTCTCCGCTGCCCTTAAGAATGTACTTTGTACGCCTATCCCAAACCTATAAGAACTAATGATAATCCCACCACCCTTTGCTGACTCTCTTTTCGGACTCAGCCCGCCTGCAGCCAGGTGAAACAAACAGCCTTGTTGCTCATACAAAGCCTGCTGGTGGTCTTTTCACAGGACGCGAGTGACAGCCATCACCTTGGGGGTTAGGATTTCAACATATCAATTCTGGGGAGATGAAAAACATTCAGACCATAGCAGCCAGATAGTTAATATTATAGGTGCGTGGACCATGAGGTCTGTTAACTCAACCCTGCCTTTGTAGTGTGAAAGCAGCTATAGACAGTATGTAAATGTGCATGGAATACACAATAAAATTTTATTTATAAAAACAGGCAGTGTGCATCTGATAAGGGTCTAATATCCAGAATCTATAAGGAACTTAAATCACCCAACAAGCAAAAGCCAAATAACCCCATTAAAAAATTGTCAAAAGACTTGAACAGACACTTCTCCAAAGAAGACAGACAAGCAGCCAACAAACATATGAAACGTTTTCTACCCACATCTCCAATCACCAAAGAGAAATGCAAATCAAAACTACAATGAGATACCATCTCATATCACTCACTCTTGGCTATTGTTAAAAAGTCAGGCCAGGCGTGGTGGCTCACACCTGTAATCCCAGCACTTTGGGAGGCGAAGGCGGGCAGATCACCTGAGGTCTGGAGTTCGAGACCAGCCTGGCCAACATGGTGAAACCCCGTCTCTACTAAAAATACAAAAATTACCTGGGCATGGTGGTAGGTGCCTGTAATCCCAGCTACCCAGGAGGCTGAGGCGGGAGAGTTGCTTGAACCCGGGAGGTGGAGATTGCAGTGAACTGAGATCGCGCCATTACATTCCAGCCTGGGTAACAAAAGCAAAACTCCATCTCAAAAAGAAAAAAAAAAAAGAGTGCCCCTGACCCCCCAAAAAAAGATGCTGGTTGGGCTGCAGAGAAAAGGCTTACATTGTTGGTGGGAATGTAAATTAGTTCAGCCACTGTGGAAAGTAGTTTGGAGATTTCTCAAAAAACTTAACAGAGAACTACCATTTGACCCAGCAAACCTATTACTAGATATATACCTGAAAGAAAATTAATTGTTTTACCAAAAAGACACATGCACTTAAATGTTCATGGCATCCCTATTCACAATAGCAAAGACATTGAATCAATCTAGGTACCCATCAACAGTGAACTGCGTAAAGATAATGTGGTACATGCACATCATGAAATACTACGGATTGGATAAAGAAAATGTGGTTCATATACACCATAGAATACCACGCAGACATAATAAGGGCGACATCATGTCCTTTACAGCAACATGGATGCAACTGGAGGTCGTTATCCTAAGCGAATTAATGCAGGAACAGAAAACCAGATACAGTGTGTCATCACTTACAGTGGGAGCTAAACAAGGGGTACTCGTGGACATAAAGATAGCAACAATAGACTAGGCACTACTAAGCGGAGGTGGGTGAGGGGATGGGAACAAGGGTTGAAAAATTACCTATCGGTTGGGGTATACTCACTACCCTATTGATGGGATCAGTTGTACCTCAAACCTCAGCATCATACGATATATCCATGTAACAAACCTGCACTTGTATCCCTTGAATCGAAAATAAAATTTGAAATTATTTTTTATAAAAAGGCAGCCATGTGCTCTATAGCAATCAATAATGGAGAGAAAACAAGCAAAAACATCAGGATAGCATGACTAGTCTATTAAAAATGCTTTTCCATTTCCATGATTTTATTTTAGTACAGAATGAATGAGTTTATTTTATTCCTACGTTTTTAGTAATAGCAAAAAAAAAAAAGGTATTCGGTTTTAGTATACTTATATAAAGATCTGCTTTAACTCGTCAGCCTCTTGTATTATTATTTTCTGTTGTCTTTGATTTTTAACTGTTACGCATTGTTGGAACACAGCAGCTGATTTTGAACAGCTCCAAGATTTAACTCAAAATCCTTTTGGCTGAATATATATTTGTATTTTAACAAACTAAGTCATTAGTGAAGAAATTAGCAGTAACTCTCCTTGTTTTGTAATGGATTGGGGCTTGGATCAGATATAGATTGTGACAGCCATAGAGAATTGCTTCTGTATTCTATAATACCTTTGTAAATGTAAAACTTTGTATTACTTTTCTAAGAATATTAACTCCATTTGAGATGTATGACCCTTTCTACAGGGTTCCTCTGGGGCTGTTCCCAAAACTACGTAACTCTTAGATGTGATGTTTTCTATATGTTGGGTCTAATTGTTGTAAATGGGATCCATTCTCATTGCTGACAAGGTGAGCTTGTTCTGAAAACATGAACACAGAGGTACACATGCAGCTTTACAAGTTCACCCTAAAATTTCTGATAATGAAATTTATTTTCTCTTCTTTCCTTCTTAAACTTTAAGAAAAGGCATATACTATTTTATCTTTTGTAGTGGCTAGTACCTAAAAATATCACGATTTTTAATCCAGTTTTATACATTGTGTTATTTCTATTTGTTTTTGTCTTATTTTATATATTTCTTTTAACAAACTAAGAAATCTTTTCTACTATAAACCTGGGAGAATGTCGTGATCTTCATGGAATAGGATGCATTGTTGCAGGATTACACTTTCAGTGCCAAGAAGCTTCCTAAACTGGCCCTAACCAGTCTGTCCTCTCCCCACTCACTCTGTACATGAGGCACACCAGATATGCCCCACATTCAAGACTATTCATGCATCTACTGCTTCCTTTCCTGGAAAGCCTGAAAAGGGTCGTGAACATATTCTTTAAGGCCCCATCTGCATGTTGCTTTGTTTACTACCTCCCCTGGATAGGATTACTTGCTTCTTCTGCTAAACACCACGTCTCAGTTGTTTGCCTTTTCCTCCCTCAACTGTGATGTCATCATCTTTGGATATTAGTCCCCTCTCCCAAACACCACCTGTCACCTATCACAGTGCCTTGTGACAGTCACATTGAGCACAGATAATTACATGTTGTACTGAATCCACATATGTAGAAAAAGGAAGGTACACTGGTCATTGCATGCCAATTAATCACGGTTTTTTTTTTCCCCCCTCTTTCTTTGTTTTATCTTTAGGCATTCTGGAAGTTTTACACTGTGTTTTAGTAGAAAGTCCAGAAGCTCTAAATATTATTAAAGAAGGACATATTAAATCCATTATCTCACTTTTAGACAAGCATGGAAGAAATCACAAGGTAAATGAAATATTTTGTTTCCCTGAATGAATTTTCAAATCCTTTTAGATATGTTTCTTAAATACAATAACTTTTAAAAAGTGTGTCAAATTTTTCATGAGTGTTTTTCTTCTCTTAATTATTATTTTTTGAGCAGTCGTACTCTGTCGCCCATGCTGGAGTGCAGTGGTGTGATCTGAGCTCACTGCAACCTCCGCCTCCAGGGCTCAAGCAATTATCCTGTCTCGGCCTCTGGAGTAGCTGGGACTACAGGTACATGCCACCATGCCCGGCTAATTTTCGTATTTTAAGTAGAGACAGGGTTTTACCGTATTGGTCAGGCTGGTCTTGAGCTCCTGACCTCAGGTAATCCACCTGCCTTTCCTCCCAAAGTGCTGGGATTACAGGCATGAGCCACCGTGCCCGGCCTTCATCTCTTAATCATGATCAAGTAATATTGTTTAGTGTTTATTCATAGCATCAGTGGGAACATGAACAGTTCTCAATTTATATATGAAGAAAAGTTGGAAAGTTAGTGGGAAACTACTGTAATGTTTAAATAACTGAGTCAAATGTAACTGGAGGAATGTGTTTGCTTTGTAAAAAGTGCTGCTGATGCTTGATTCTGAAGGGGGAATTAGAATCAGCTGAAAGTGACTGCACACAGTGACTCATGCCTGCCATCCCAGTAATTGGGGAAGCCAAGATGGGAGGATCGCTTGAGGCCAGGAGTTTGAGACCAGCCTGGGTAATATAGCAATACCCTGTCTTTACAAAAAAGAAAAATTAGCCAGGCGTGATGGCATGCACCTATAGAGGCTGAGACAGGAGGATTCCTCGTGCCCGAGAGTTCGAGTCTGCAGTGAGCTATGATCGTGTCACTGCACTTCAGCCTGGGTGACAGAATGAGATGCTGTCAGAAAGGAAGGGAGGGAGGGAGGGAGGGGAGAAAGGATGGAAAGGCAGGGAGGGAGGGAGGATCAACTGAAAGTAATTTCTCTTTTCAGGTCCTGGACGTGTTGTGCTCACTCTGTGTTTGCCATGGGGTTGCAGTCCGTTCTAACCAGCACCTCATCTGTGACAATCTCTTACCAGGAAGAGATCTGTTACTACAGACACGTCTTGTGAACCACGTCAGCAGGTAAATTCAGACAGACAGTGTCATCTGACAGGCAACATAATAAAAGAATTAATGTTCTTGTCCTGTAGCTGACACTATATGGTCTGTTTTTTAAATTAGAGCGTATAGTAGTAGTTTCTGTATTTTTGCAGTGAATAATATGTCTTTTTCTCTAACAATCAGATGGGATAATAATAAATGAACCTAGCAAAATATGGCTTTGCCACAGACACATGGATAAGAGCTTTTATTCACATTCCTATGTAGATAGATAATCATTGACATCCTCAGGACCATCCTGACAACTGTATAGGTATATGGTTGTATATAATTATGCTTTACATCTTCTTAGAATGTAACTAAAACACTATCCTTCAATATCATTTTTTTAAAATTATTTTTTTGAGACAGAGTCTCACTGTCGCCCAGGCTGGAGTACAGCGGTGCGACCTCAGCTCACTGCAAGCTCCACCTCCCAGGTTCACGCCATTCTCCTCCCTCAGCCTCCTGAGTAGATGGGACCACAGGCGCCCGCCACCAAGCCCAGTTAATTTTTTTGTATTTTTAGTAGAGACGGGGTTTCACCGTGTTAGCCAGGATGGTCTCGACCTCCTGACCTCGTGATCTGCCTGCCTCGGCCTCCCAAAGTGCTGGGATTACAGGCATGAGTCACCACGCCCGGCCCCTTCAATATCATTTTGAGGTACCTGCTATGTACGATCAAAAATAGAATGTCCAAAATGTAATATATTATGCAAATAACCAATAAAACTACATCTTCAGTTAGATCTGCCTTCCAAGGCACCTCACGTCCATTGAGTACCGTGTGCCAGCTGTGGTGCTAAGGGCTTTATGTGTATTCTATACTGTTTGTGTCTGTGCTTTCCTAGGAACCACTGGGATTCACATTTTATAGACGAAAAAACTGGAACTGGAAGTGGAACTCAGATCTAAATCCAGAGACTGAGCTTATAACCACCATGCCACACTGCCTTTCTTATCCCCTGTATTAGTCAGGCTTCTCTAGAGGTACAGGATGAATAGGATAGCTGTACATATGAAAGGGAGTTTATTAAGGAGCATTGATTCACACGATCACACGGTGAAGTCCCACAATAGGCCGTCTGCAAACTAAGGAGCAAGGAAGTCAGTCTGAGTCCCAAACCTCACAAGTAGGGAGGCCAGAAGTGCAGCCTTTAGCCTGCGGTTGAAGGCCCGAGAACCCCTGGCAAACCACTGCTAAGTCCAGGAGTCCAAAAGCAGAAGAACTTGGGAGTCTGATGTTCAAGGGCAGGAAACATCCAGCATGGGAGGAAGAGGAAGGATGGAAAACTCAGCCAGTCTAGTCTCTCCACGTTCTTCTGCCTGCTTTTATTCTAGCTGTGCTGGCAGCTGATTAGATGGTGCCCATCCAGATTGAGGGTGGGTCTGCCTCTCTCTGTCCATTGACTCAAATGTTATTCTCCTTTGGCAACACCTTCACAGACATATCCAGGAACAATACTCTGCATCCTTCAATCCAATCAAGTTGACACTCAATATTAACCATCACATCCCCCAGATGAACACATAAATAAATAATAAGAAATAACTGCTTACAATCATAAAATGCTGTGTGTGATAGTAGTAACATTGCCACACTGTATCTAGCAGCTAGCCCAGAGATACTGATAACGTCATCCTGTTTTAAACAGAAATGTGGGGTTTGTTGTGTATTTCTATGATGTGTTTTGTTTTTTAAGATAGAGTCTTGCTCTGTCACCAAGGCTGGAGTGCAGTGGCATGACCTTGGCTCACTGCAACTTCTGCCTCCTGGGTTCAAACCTTTCTCCTGCCTCAGCCTCCCAGTAGCTGGGATTACAGGTGCACACCACCACACCCAGCTAATTTTTGTATTTTTAGTAGAGATGGGGTTTCACCATGTTGGCCAGTGTGGTCTTGAACTCCTGACCTCATAATCCGCCCGCCTTAGCCTCCCAAAATGCTGGGATTACAGGTGTGAGCCACCGCACCTGGCCAATGTGTGTGTTTTTAAAAAAAATATATGATATATATATATATATATATATATATACACACACACACACTTATTGCATATTCACTCTATGGCAGAAACTTCTTTACATTTATTCTATTATTCCATCCTCACAACATGCTTGAACTTAGAGATGTTTACCAGCCCATTTTCCAGGAGGATAAATGGAGGATGAGCAAGGTTTCATAACTAGTGCCAGGTCACACAGCTAGCAAATGGATGCTCACATTTTCTCTCTGACTCAGAAACCCATGGTTTTCCAACTAGACTTCCAACCACACTGTGCTGGAAAAATGGAAATTGTTGGGAAACGGATACAGCTGGTTGTTTTCCTTCGCTCCTTTTGAGGAGCTCCTTTTTAAAGTAAGTCAATTACATATCAAATTATGTTACCTCTGCTGAGCTGGGAAGCAAAGTCCAAACACCTTCTATGTTTTTGTTTGTTTCTTTTACAGTACTGACTTAAGATGTCCTTCATGATTCTTTATATAACAGACCTGCCATTCTTGAGTAGTATGTTCTGAGACCTTCATTCATTTCTACCTACTGCTACCATAGGGTATATGTCCTCTCCTAAAATGGAATTAAATACAAGTTACGAAAAATTTTTCTGTTCACAGTGAGGCTTAATGAACAACAAAGCTGATTAGTTACCTTGGTTCCTTCACAAACAACATGACCTACCTCAGCCCCGTACCCCATGTGACACAAAGCTTAGTTTAGGAAAATTTCTCCATGCCTGGAATTCCTAATAACTCCATTAATTCTAAAAGTCTGCTCTGAGTGTCTCAGTTTGTGACTTAAATACGATTAATGATACACAACGTGTGGAAGAGGAATTAAGACAAAATAACGTTAGTTCCTTGGGTGACACTGCCAAGAAATCTCGGAAGCGAAACTGCTGATGGAATGTTCACAGTGGAGCTGGCTTTCACTGTATACTACTTCAGTGGTAGTTTTAATGATTTTGTTAGTAATTAAGGAAATATATATTTAATATGTGGCATCTTAGAGAAGCATGACTAATGTTTAAAATAGTGAGATGTGGCTGGGCGCGGTGGCTCATGCCTGTTATTCCAGCACTTGGGAGGTCGAGGCAGGAGGATTACTTGAGCTCAGGAGTTTGATACCATCCTGGGCATCATAGCAAAACCTTATCTCTACTAAAAATTAAAAAAAAAATTAGTTGGGCTTGGTGGCACTCTCCTTTAGTGCCAGTTATTCAGGAGGCTGAGATGGGAGGATTACTTGAGCCTGGGAGATGGTGACTGCAATAAACTATGATTGCATCACTGCACTTCAGCCTAGGCAACAGAGCAAGACCCCGTCTCAATAAAATAAAATTAAATAAAATACAAAAGTAAAATTATGAGATGTAAATGCAAACAATGGAAGGTTTGTCTGGACTTTTCTTACATGCGATTCCTGTCTCTTTAAAGCATGAGACCCAATATTTTTCTGGGCGTCAGTGAAGGTTCTGCTCAGTATAAGAAATGGTACTATGAATTGATGGTGGACCACACAGAGCCCTTTGTGACAGCTGAAGCAACGCACCTGCGAGTGGGCTGGGCTTCCACTGAAGGGTATTCTCCCTACCCCGGAGGGGGCGAAGAGTGGGGTGGAAATGGTGTTGGAGATGATCTCTTCTCCTATGGATTTGATGGCCTTCATCTCTGGTCAGGTACGTGCTGTCCATTTTCTTTCACCATGTTCCAGAAGGAGATCTTTTGCTGGACATTTCTGAAAGCTATTGGTGCTGCTTCCATTGGGTACTTCTATAGGGTATTAATCATTCAGAAATTTAGCATTGAGAGGATGAGTAAGAGTGTTGGGGAAAAAGCAGTATTTCACTAGGGGAAAAAGAAAACTTACAATTATAGTACGATTTCCAAGGGACTGCCTAGCTTATGAACAATGCTGTGTATTTAAAGATTTAAATAAGAGTGTATTGCTTAGGAACAATACTGTGTATTTAAAGAGTGCATTCCAAAGCATGAATGAACTGCAAGAAACTTGTGACTTTTCTGCTTTAATTGGTATGTTTAAAACTTCAGCTGCCAATGGAAAAGAACAAAAAACAAACCTTGGAAAATAATGGGAAGAAATAGACTGAGTTCAGCCTTCTGTTAGATAATGTAATGGTGGGAAATCAATAATTTGTAAAGTGTGGTATGAGGACTCAGATTATAATCAAATGACACTCTGTTTCAGAAGTATAAAATGGTTTAAAAATAAAGGAATAGGTCATTTCACCAGCTACCAACCCTTAGTTTTGATGGTTGAGTATGTATTAAAAATGAGTACTATATATTTAAAAATAATATTCTTTCTCTGATTCATGAAGAAGTAGAGTTTGGTTAGCTCCGTTTAAAAGCTTAGCTCTTGATTATGTAGATTTTTTTAGATGTTAAAATTCATCTGGATTCTGCAGACATATGCTTATGTTGGTAAAGCTGCATTTGGAATATAGTCCTGGTATGATCTTGCCATAGTTTATAAATTATTTAGCATATGGAAGATACAGAAAGTTACCTTAAGTTATAAAGCTGAACTTTGCCTCTTGTGGAGTACAAATGATAGGCATTTATGCGTGCTTTATGGGCCTAAAGCTTATGAAAAGTAAGAAATAAATTGAACTACACCTAAGACTTTATGGTAATGAGTTTATATCTAAAAGCATTCCATGTAGTTGTATCTAACAATGATACTTACTGAATTCTGTCTTCATTGAGTGCCAATAGCTCAGTTGTCTAGAAGAGATGAAGCTGTATTTTGGTGTGTGTGTGTGTATGTGTGCGCGCGCTTGCGCTTGCGCTTATTTATTTATTTATTTATTTATTTCGAGACAGAGTCTTGCTCTGTTGCCCAGGCTGGAGTGCAGTGGTGCAATCTTGGCTCATTGCAGCCTCCGCCTCCTGGGTTCAAGTGATTCTCGTGCCTCAGCCTCCTGAGTAGCTGGGGCTACAGGCTTGCACCACCATGCCCCGCTCATTTTTATATTTTTTTAGCAGAGTCAAGGGTTTCACCATGTTGGCCAGGCTTATCTTGATCTCCTGGTCTCAAGTGATCTGCCTGCCTCCGCTTCCCAAAGCGCTGGGATTACAAGTGTGAGCCACTGTGCCCAGCCTCAATTTTTAATTTTTGTGAGTACGTAAAAGGTATATATATTCATGGTGTTGAAGCTGTGTTTTGCATATTTCATCTAACCTCTGAGGAATGTGGTTGGAGTCCTCACAGTACTGTGGACTGCTTTATACAAAGGCGACCTGTGCCAGCCAGACCATAGTCACAGTGCCTTGTTCCCATAGGAAAATTTTCCTGTTGACCAACCAGAGATAAAGAGTCGTCACTTCAGAAGACCTATTAAACACAAAATAGGGCTGATGTCCTTGTTATAAAACGTTTTAACTATAATCTTTTAGATACTATTACTTTCTCTCTCTCTAGCTCCTAGTATTGCTCTGCAGGAAATACGTACTCAAATGAATAAATGAAACATGTTAACTTGTTTTCCCGTTACACAGAGATTAGATTAAAAAAACATTAATCGACAGTGCCAAGTTGCTTTCATTTAGTCTCTCTATATAATAACATATTTTACTATTTTTGTTTTGTATTCAATTTGAAGCTTTTTCTTTCAATACATTAAAAGTACCTGGTTCTTATGGAATTGAATTGTATGCATTATGCCTTTTATTACAAAGTATCTGTTAAATAGAATAATAAGAACAACAACAACAAAATTTAGTGAATCTGTGGACATGTACCAGAAAGGATGGTAGGCACTGGAGTTTCAGGAGAAAAGCATCTTAAAATTTTATTCATTTTTTTAAATGGCAAGAAAAGATGTATCATATCATGTCTGTACTTGAAAAGTATTTTCTCTTAAGCCACTGGGGGTCTATTAAATGCTTTGCTGATTTTAGATTCATAATCAATAAAGACAGATCTAAATTAGTTGGAATGTGAGTTATGAAACTCGAATTCATAGTAACAGATAACCTTCTTTGGGGTCATTCTCCTATTTTCTTCTTAATGGTTGATGTACAATTTAAAGTATCAAATATCAGTGATTTCTAGGATGGAGCGCATTCTCTGCCACTTAACATTTTGTAATTGGAGACTGGCAGTATTTCTTGGAACAAGGATTGGGCTCATAAGCAAAAGTTTTTACTTATGTCTTCATTTCTTCTCTTCAATTTAACCTTTGCGGTGTTGCTACTTTTCCTCTCTGTCAATGCAGAACTGGATTTTGGGAATCCAGGTCCCAGGTGTTTGAAAGGACCAAAAGTATAAAAAATCTTGGTGCTTTGAGAGAATTTAAATATAGAATTAGTGTGGAGGAATTTACAGGAAACATGGGTACAGGTTTCTAATACAGGATCTATCAAGCTATCATATCCCTCAAAGTGAACAATATATTTAATTATGATAGATATCTTGTAAACAACATTGCTATTAGCTACAGATCTTGGTACAAACAAGAAACTAGACCTTTTTCTGCATTGCTTTTGTTTGATTTTTTAAAAAGCTACCTTTATTATATTCAGGGAATTCTAGAAGAGACACTTGATAGTGAATTTATTGCCTGTGGATTTGAATATTGGTAAAATAAAAAGTGTCCACATTTAAAAAAAATAGGTATTCTTTACTACTGGCATTTCAAATATGTCCTTGGTAGAGATATTGGCACGCTAGAAGTAAAAAGAATTATTAAAAATACAAAGCACGTATCACAAAGTCTGTTTTTGTCTTCGCTCAAATTGAAGGTTTTGTTTATGTTTGTGAGCATGTGTGTTTGGGTGGACCTTGCCTTCAAAATTTTCTTCCAGCATGCAGTGAGAGGCAGATGCTCTTGGGACTGATTAGCAAAGGAGTTCTTAGAATCAGGAATGGGCTTAGACCACAGGTTGGTCTTGCCAGGGCAAGAAACAACATTTATCAAATATCATTTTCATGCCTCCAGTTATATCCTGCTTTACTTAAGAAGCCAACCAAGATCTTGTGTGAAATAAATGTAAAACAAAAACCAATTGGCCTGTAGTTATCTCACAATAAACAATGTGCTGCAGGAATGAATGATCATATTTTCTGCTTTCGTTATCTTTATGTATTTTTATTTTAAATTGATAGAACGAAGGGAGTTTAGCATTTGACAAAGGGACGGACATGAAGTATCTGCTGTGCCTGAGACTCTGTCACTTGTAAAACATTAATCATCAAAATAACTAAACAAGGTGATGGTATTTGGTGTTCTGTTGATAAGACATCAACATTAAGAGAGGTTAAGTAATTTGGTTATGGTCTCACAAGCAGTAGATGGTAAGGTAGCTATATGAAGTCCCTGGAGATGTTCCTTGGACATCATTATATAATCTGCTCTTAGATAATTTCTGGGTCGATTGTCATCCATCTACATGCGGAAATTTCTGTGTATCAGAAGGTCTATTTTACAACGTAGGTAGCAGCCTGACTCCTGAAATAGTCGTTTTTTTTGACAAAGGGTTTAACATGTAACATGCGTTTATATTCAAGATTTATTCCTGCTGGTGTTATGCATTGGTTTGTCACTACCTATTCAAATCTTTTGACTTTGACTCTGAGGCTGATTCTCTGAGATAAAAAAATACATGACCTTCCTTAATGTTTCTTCCCCCAATAGGTTGTATTGCTCGTACTGTAAGCTCACCAAACCAACATCTGTTAAGAACTGATGATGTCATCAGTTGCTGTTTAGATCTAAGTGCCCCAAGCATCTCGTTCCGGATTAATGGACAACCTGTTCAAGGGATGTTTGAGAATTTCAACATCGATGGCCTCTTCTTTCCAGTCGTTAGTTTCTCTGCAGGAATAAAGTTAGTATGTCTATGTTTTTTGGTCTCTTTCCTTTCTCATTTCTCACACCTCCGCAGAAGACTCTGCACTGCCATTGCCCTGCTTCTCTAACAGTTGTTTCTCTCTCCTGGGCACCTGTCCTCAGCGCATTTTTGCCCGTGCCTTGAAGGAGGAGGTAAGGCTTACCTAAGAGGGGCATCGTGCAAGGCTGAGTGCTTTGTTTACGGATCCCACTGTGTTTAGATGTGGGCAGTCTCCCTCAAACCAGTGTCCTGAACTATTTCAAGGTTTTTTTCTTTTTGTAGTTTATTTAGATGAAATGAGCAAGGCTGTTTAGAAAAATACTGCTTATTTTCTTATATTTTCATTGATTTTCCTTTTTTAAGCCATAGTTCTTCACCCCATTGCACACCTCCTTATTTCAATAGAAATTAAATATCCTTTTTGTTGATGAGGCCCAGGTGGCCTTCTTTAGTGTTCCTCTCCACCTTTATTCTCTTTATTCCTTTGTTCTCTGCTTATGGTCAATGGTGCCAAGATGGCTTCCTCACACTCTTTCCTTTTTTGCTATTACTGGAGGGAAACAAAGTGATAATCCATTGTAGTTCTACAAATAAAACTTTAATAAATGATGGTCTGTTATAATAAGTAACTACTCTGTCACTTATTTTTATATACACACACACACCTGTAAACTTAGAAGGACACCCTTTGTTTTAGTCATACTTCTTCCAGGAATAATTCCTAGTTACAAAAGCAGCATATTGAAGAAGGAATAGAGTAATCATGAATATTAGCTATCCATGTACCAGCTCTTTTTTCTGATGTATTTATACAAATTATGTTTCTATAAGCTTCTGGAATGTTTTAGCATTTTTATTTTTCCTCACTTTTCTTTGCTTTTATTTTTTTGGACTGGATCTGATACACAAATTAGAAAAAGAATTATGGCCAGGTGCGGTAGCTTGCACCTGTAATCCCAACACTTTGGGAGGCCGAGGTGGAAGGACTGCTTGAGGTCAGGAGTTTGTGACCAGTCTGGTCAACACAGTGAGACCCTATCTCTGCAAAAGTTTTGTTTTGTTTTGTTTTTCATTTTGTTTCTTTAATTAGCACCTAGTGTAATTAGCACCTAGTGTTGTGTGCCTGTAGTCTTAGCTACTTGGGAAGCTGAGTTGGGAGGATCCCTTGAACCCAGGAGTTGGAGGCTGTAGTAACCTGTGACTGGATCACTGCACCCCTGCCTGAACAACAGAGTGAGACCTTGACTCAAAAAAAAAGTACAAGGAAAATGGAACATTTAAATTCATTTTTTGTAAATCCGAGAGCCCCAGGAAACAGATATCATTTAATTGTTTCAAAAAGTGTTGTTCAATGGAACTCAGATTAAAATAGTTTTGCTTAAATGAGCAGAATGTCTAAAAGATTTTAGTAAGTTCTTTTTTGTTGTTGAAATTGATAAACAATTAGCAATAAGGTTACCTGCTTCCTTCAATTTGAAGAGACATCAGAATCTCCTTTAAAGCAGCAGTCCCCCACTTTTTTGGCCCTAGGCACCGCTTTTGCCGAAGACAGTTTTTCCACGGGCCAGGGCTGGGGTTGAAGGTGGGGATGGTTTCAGGATGAAACCGTTCCAGCTCAGATCATCAGGCATTAGTTTGATTCTCATAAGGAACATGCAACCTAGATCCCTCACAGGCACAGTTCACAATAGGGTTCACGCTCCTATGAAAATCTCAGGCCGCTGCTGATCTGACAGGAGGCAGAGCTCAGGCGGTAATGCTCTCTTGCCCACACAGCTCACCTCCTTCTGTGCAGCCTGGTTCCTAACAGACCACAGACTGGTACCTGTCGCGGCCTGGGAGTTGCACACCTCTGTTTTAGAGAATTTCATTAGGAAATTGAAAAGTGACTGGTTTTCCCCTCATTCCTTGTTAAGTCCTGTAATTTTAAGCATATAGATATTTCGATCAGGTCTTTCCTTTATCTGTTCATTACGTGGGTACTTTGGGGCATTAGGTGACCAGTTATTACGGATACGCACTTCATTTCCGTAAGATTGTGGTGCTTTTAGTTACTTCTCCAGCAGGTGATGTCTTCACTGACCCATCAATTAGCTGAAGGTTTTCTCTTCTGATGAATATGATGCCCTCAGGTTTTACCTTTTACAATTAGAGGCCCTTGAATTCTAAGGTGATCACGTTATGATGGTACTTAGAGGAAAATGTGGCTTCTGATAAAATTACTTTTGTACTAATAATTTTTCCCTGAGATTTTGTTAATTAGAAAACTTTAATGTACACCAGAGATAAAACGGACTCTAACATGCATCCTTTTTAGAGTACGCTTTCTGCTTGGGGGGCGACATGGAGAATTCAAATTTCTTCCTCCACCCGGGTACGCTCCTTGTTATGAAGCTGTTCTGCCAAAAGAAAAGTTGAAAGTGGAACACAGCCGAGAGTACAAGCAAGAAAGAACTTACACACGCGACCTGCTGGGCCCCACGGTTTCCCTGACACAAGCTGCCTTCACACCGATCCCTGTGGATACCAGCCAGGTACCAAGATCCACTCAAATGGCAATCGCTGGTGATGCAGTCATTCTGATACGCAGTGGCTTTACACTTGGTCCGCAACCCATGGGAATGGATTTCACAGTGATACAGTTGTACAGTTGACACACAGGACTGAAACGAGACTCATAAAATAACACTTACCTTTACCATGTCCACTCACTCATTTTCTATTCTATGTTTTTTTTGTTTGTTTGTTTTATGTTGTTTTTGTGATGGAGTCTTGCTCTGTTGTCCAGGCTGGAGTACAGTGGCACAGTCTTGGCTCACTGCAATCTCTGCCTCCTGGGTTCAAGTGATTCTTGGCTCACTGCAATCTCTGCCTCCTGGGTTCAAGTGATTCTCCTGTCTCAGCCTCCCAGGTAGCTGGGATTATAGATGCCTGCCACCACACCTGGCTAATTTTTGTATTTTTAGTAGAGATAGGGTTTCATCACGTTGGCCAGGCTGGTCTTGAACTCCTGACCTCAGGTGATTCACCCACTTCAGCCTCCCAAAGTGCTGGGATTATAGGCATGAGCCACTGGGCCCGGTCTCTATTCTATGTTTTAAGTAGTTTTCCTAGCCCAATAAACTGATTCCCTGATGTACAAACAGATTACAACCTGAAGTGTTAAAAACTCTGTTCAAGGTTGTCTTTAAAGTTTTATTAAAATAATTAATATTACTTAGCTTATAAAGTACATATTACACTTTTAAAAATAGGCAATAATAGCAACAGGTGGAACTTAGTGGGCAAAAATCATACAAGAAATTTTAAGGTATAATAGTGTTAAGATGATTTAATATCTGGGATAACATACTGCACTTGAAGTAATATCATACAGATGTGACACATACTGATTTTAGAGTGTAGTTCTTAAGCCCCTGGCCTTTTTGGCACTAGGTACCGATTTCCTGGAAGACTATTTGGCACCAGCCAGTGGGCCGGGGTTGAAGGTGGGGATGGCTTTGTCATGAAACTGTTCTCTCTCACATCGTCAGGCATTAGTTAGATTCTCATAAGGAGTGCGCAGTTCACAACGGGGTTCACATTCCTGTGAGAATCTAAGAAGAATATAGAGAAAGATGAGGAACCTGTATAGGAAACATGGAGTTTTTAATTTCTTCTAATTTCCTTCTTGGATACACTTCTTTGGAAGATATTGAACTGACTTTTATCTTGGGTATAGATGAGGATCGTGAGCTCTAGAGTCAAAATGCCTGGCATCAAGGGCCTACTCCCTGCTTAGAGGAGCTGCTCACCTTGTTTATTGGGATGCTAAGAGTATGTTTGTCATAGTTAATAGATACCATATTACCTGGCAAATAGGCGCCCAACAGATGTTAGCTGTTTTCCTCTTTTTCTGTTTCATAGATATAACGGTGTTCTGAGGTTGGCAATGAATTAGATATGGATTTATATTGATGGTGAAGTAGCTTCAGTGAGGTTGGTTAGATATTCAAAGTTTGCTTATTAGTGTTTAAAGATCAAAGACGTTGTTTCTAAAGTCTGAAGTTGAATTAATCGCCTGCCTCAGAAGCTTCAGTTGCTTAGCAGTCAGATGTTTAGCTCCTTGAATCGTATTTCTTCTTCCCCCTTTTTATATCATGTTGTTAAAATAAACATGCAAACATTGTTCCCGGCCAAAATTCAGTTTGCATTGCCCGTTTGCTGAAAGGTGGGAGGATATCTGTAGTGCAACCTAAGTTTATAGGAAAAAAGGTTTGGGAGGCTAGAAATGGACAACTAGGTGATGTCATGGTAGAACCTTAAGGATTACCTGAGACCCAGATAACCTCTATCAGGGAAAGGAAACAATTATCACCTGCTTCTCGTGGACATGCCACCTCATCATTGGGCACTGTGGTCGTTTGCCCACTCTGTGTGTTGTGAGACCAGCTGTGGGGCCACACACAAGTGCTTAATCAAGACATAAACAACCAGTCCCTTACTTTGTGTTTTTTATGAACATTCAGTTTCTTCCTTTTATTGGGAACATGTAAAGATTTTGTTTCTTTTCTGTAAGGCTTATATTTAGAAACCACTAACAGTAACAGAGTAGAGTGTAGGGGAAGACATCAATCACTACAGTCAGACATTTACATGCTCAAAGAGCCGACGGATTATCATGTGAGCACTGAATTGCCTTTACCCTGGCTTATGACTGCTGGCCCAGTTGGTGTAAGAGCTTTGGGGCAATTTCTCGTTTTAAGTCATACATTCCTTGGCAGTAGCCCCATATCCATTAAACATCTTTCGGTTGTCCCCACCAACACTCCTTTGTGTGTGTGTGTGTGTGTGTGTGTGTATGTGTGCACGTGTGTGTGGGGCTCATAAATTGATTTGGAAACCTAAGTTGTCAAAAAAAAGTCCCAAAATTTATTTAAAGAATGTCATGAGGTAGATGACTTAAAACTCTGTTCTATGATTACTGGTTTATGAGGCAGTTTTATTTAGTTCAGTTTGAAGCGAAGACCATTGGCACCGCATCTTATTGCATTTGTTTCTGATGTGTCTTTTTTTTTTTTTTCCTTTTTGTAAATTTTAGATTGTGTTGCCTCCTCATCTAGAAAGAATAAGAGAAAAACTGGCAGAGAATATCCATGAACTCTGGGTTATGAATAAAATTGAACTTGGCTGGCAGTATGGACCGGTACGTAATTTTGAAATTTATTTTCGGATTCTGTTAACACATCTTTCTGAAAACAGAACTTTTTCTCCCTTTTCCTGGTTTGGGGTGACATCAATCAATTAGATTGATGTTTTCCCCCCAGCACATTAGTTTTTGTGCAGTTTTGCATTACTACATGATTGTAGTTAATGGGGCTGACAGGCATTATTGGCAGGTTCACTGAAGGATGGTCTAGCTGCCTAGACAATGGAAAGTTACCTGTCTCTGGGCTGCAAGTTATATTTTCAAATCAAGGTTAACATACACAGATAATAGGCATTGATTTTTAAGCCACTTAAAAAATCTCAGTGAAATTGAAAGTGAAAACTGAAAGTGAAAAGAAGGCAATTTACTTTTCCCTCACTGATGTTTCTTTTCTTTCAGTATCAATTGTGTGTAAAAGCAGGAGACCTGCGGGCAAATGTTCCTAGTTGGTTTCACAGGTAGAATGAAGGCTGAGAAATCATGACTGCACATGCTTCTAAATGATACTCTGCTAAAGATCTTAGTTTACAACTTAATAAAATTTAGATTTAAAACAAACAACTTCCTGTATAATCCTAGTGTATATCATATACTTGTTTGTGTCAAAACCATGGTAATACTTTCATTTGTATGATATCATTCTAAGTGTCCCAAAGGCTGTAACACTTTCTTATACCTGAGTGAGTAGGGAAATTAATGTATTTACTCATCACAGTTTATTGCGTTGAGCTCTAAATAAAGAATACTTAATGTTCGTAGTAGTATCGTGTGATACTCCACACTACTCAGTAATATTTATATATTTATTCAGTGTCTTGCGTTCTCACATACAGATTATTAGGTCAAATTGTCATCACGGTGAACTGGGTTGTACTATTATTTCAGTTGTACTGGTGATGACCTAACGGAGAGTTCTTGCAGTTACTAAATGCCTTGGCAGGCATCACGTAACTAGTGAGTAGCAGCTCCAAGACTGGAATCACGGTTTTCTCAGACAGGATTTAGAAAGTGACTGCAGGTCACTGTAAGGCTTGCTGAAGCATGACCAGAAAATGGGATACTTTGATTAACTAAATGATAGTTAGACATTTGTTACCCCAGCAAACCCTTGAGTACCTAGTTTTGTGCTACATTCATCAATTTTTTTTTTTTTTTTTTGAGATAGAGTTTCACTCTTGTTACCCAGGCTGGAGTGCAGTGGTGTGATCTTGGCTCACTGCAACCTCCACCTCCTGGGTTCAAGCGATTCTCCTGCCTCAGCCTCCCAAGTAGCTGGTTTTACAGACATGCACCACCACACCTGGCTAACTTTATATTTTTAGTAGAGACAGGGTTTCACCAGGTGGCCAGGCTGGTCTCGAACTCCTGACCTCAGGTGATCTGCCCACCTCAGCCTCCCAAAGTGCTGGGATTACAGGCCGGATGACAGGCACAACCAGCCTCATCAATTCTTAAAATTGAAGGATATGTATAAATGCTACATAAAAGACTGAACCATCTATTAGTCGGTAGGAAGAGAGATGCTACAAATGTGTAAGTAATCAATTACCAGAGGAATTACAGGCAGCATTCCCCAGAAGTTTCAAAAATAAGAAAAGATGATTAGAGGCCAGGTCGATTTTTTTAAAAGTTCTCGTTAAAAAAAAAAAAAAATCCAACAAAATGTAAAACAAGCAGCAAAACCCCATATTGTAATAGCAAATATTTCAGTGGGCTTCTAAGATGATCTCCGCTGCAAACTCAGTAAGTTCACCTAAATGATTATGTTTTCAGTGAAGTCTTAGGAGTGTTTCTTCTTTAAGAACTGACTAAAATATAAAGTCTCATTATTATTGATTCTTCCAGTTAAATTTAGTTCTGCTTGATACCATACATCATATTCCTGCCATGTTCAAGACACTCTTTGGGTTTTCAAGTACTAAACTAAAGGATAACACAGTACTGCGGAGGCTTCTTGTCCACAATTGACTCAAGCTATCCTTTGCTGGGTCTGAGGCCAGTTGAGGCAACACTGGGCTTGCTGTACCTCTGGGGGAGACACTGAGCCCTGGGTCTGTGGCCGCACCTTTCCTGGCGCGGGAAGTGTTCTCTCATCAATGTATGATTTGCAGCCTGCTTTTTTTCCAAGACCTTCCCTGAAACTCCTGTTTGTGTAGTAGTTATAATCCTTGACCTTGGTCTATTATTCTAGACTAAGATATGTGCCTGTTACGATGCTAATTTCATAAATTAACATTTTAAATGAGGTTTTGAAGTATTCAAGTATGATTTTCTTTGGAGCAATTTATACTTAGCTACCCAGCATGCTGGATTTTTTTTCCAAAGAAGTTATCATTTCTTTGGGATGTATTTCCCAGAAGCATGGTGCAAAGGCTCTAGTTTATGGACTAACAAGGCAAATCCATCTATCATTTATTCGTCCCTTTAACATTCATTGTATGTCTATTTGCCTGGTGTGTTTAGTCCTGGGGACTCAGTTTTGAAAAGACCTTGACTTTTAAGGTACTGTGTTTGCCTTCTAGGCGCTTCCTGTTTAGTTGAATGATAGGTAGGCAAACAATTACAGAGTAAAGAAGTAATATTTAGCTCTTCCTAGGGAAATCAGGGAAGGCTTCCAGGAGGAGGTAAATGTTTGATCCAAGGCTGAGGGATGTGTGCAAGATAGCTGGCAATCAGAAAGCATGACCGTGTAGTAGGCAGAGGACCTGGCATGTGTAAAAGCGAGGAGGCAGAAGAGACAGGACATTTGCCATGACCTTTCAGTGGTGCAGTGTTGCGAAAGGACACCTCTGCTGTGGTGCGGAGAAGAGGTGGGAAGCCAGGCCATGTACGCAGGAAGTGTGTCACAAAAGGCTTTGGGAGGAAGATGATTTTATTCTGTAGGGGGCAAAACAGCATTGAAAAATGCTTAGCAGGAAGGTGACAGAATTCTGTCTGCTTTCAAAAGAAGCTCTGCTGTGAATGTGGAGAAGCAGAGAGCCTGGAGGCAGGAGGAGGGGCAGGGAGAGGGCACAGGCACCCCAGGTGAGAGGCAACTCAGAGCCCTGCAGCGGGGATAGAGAGCTGTGGTTACAGGAGGTGTTTCGGTGTTCGTGTATGGGATGTCGCAGGAGAAGGAAGGGAATCTGCGCAGATTTCTCATTTCGTTTAGATGCTTGAGAAGATGATGGTGTTAGTTATTCTCTGGTGTAGAGAGTACAGACAAAGTGGAGATGACCTAAATGGGGAGATTGTCTGCGGGTTCAGACACACTCATTTTATAAATGTTCATTTTGTGTTTCATTTGTGGGATTAGAGATTTAGAGTTTAGAGTTACATTACATAACTCAATTTCATTTTCAGAGTTCTGTAATTAAATAAGTATACCTAATATATGATTCTATATAAGTCTTGTTCATTTGTAATGATGACCAGAAGGAAAGGAATAAATACATCGTTTCTAACTTGGTGACTGCTGAAGACTTGAAAAAAACTCACTCATGTTTGTGTACTTCTTGTGTAGCATTTATAGGACCTGGTAATGATGCTCATGAAGTAATTTGTTCCCTGACAGCATGTGGGTTGCCATCTAGGTGCTGCCATAGCATTAATGCTGATGCAATTTAGGTCTTTGAGAAGATAACAAACCTAATTACTAATGCAAGGAGAGAGAACATCTTTCTCAGTAATTCATTCCTAAAACCTTGCATTTAGTTTAATGTGATTGCTAATATACAGCTTCAAGGATTAATATAAAAACCACCTGCATATGATGCTACTGAATTTTGTGAAGGTAGTAGGGTAATTTGTGAGATCGAGAGTAATGTGCAGGGGGTAAAATGAACAGCAAGAGCCACCTCAAAGTGTTTATGTCAGTCAGTCCTGTCGTTAATTGATGTCTGTAATCAGTTTCGTTCTATACAGGAAAATTACTACGAATTAAAACAAAGTCGTTACCACACCCTTCTTACACAGATTTATTTCAATTTATAAAACATGTGTCAAGTACCCAGGACGTACCAGGAATGTTTAAGGTGTTTGGGACACATCAAAGAACAAAAGAGACCAAAATCTTTGCATTTTTGATCTTCTAATTCAGGGAGACACACAATAGCCCCATAACTCAATAAATCCAATCTGTTAGAAGGTGTATGGACAAAAAAAAAAAAAAAAAAAGAGTAAGGTGGGCAGGCAGACTGTCCTAATTAGGCAATTGGGCGGGGTAAACCTCGCTGAGAAAGTAAGATATAAGCAAATGCTACAAGGAGCTGAGTGAGTGAGCCTGTGGGAATCTGGGGTAGGAGTCTGCATGGTGGGGGCTCATGGAAGCTCTGCCAAACAGAAGGGAAGGAATGAAGATAATTCCAGCTTCTACCAGTGACCTCAGATATTCACTGCACCTGAGAGGTTGTGGGGGCAGCTTTGAGGGGTTGATGATCTGGGTGTTCCTTCTTGCCTTCCGCCTCCACTTTCCGCTACACAGTTGAATTCCATTGCTATTGCCTGGCGTTGGAGACTATTATATGTCAATTTCCTGTCCTGTTTCAGGTTAGAGATGACAACAAGAGACAGCACCCATGCCTGGTGGAGTTCTCCAAGCTGCCTGAACAGGAGCGCAATTACAACTTACAAATGTCGCTTGAGACCCTGAAGTGAGTTTCTTAACTTTTTCTATTTTCCAGTCTGTGTTTCCAAAAAACACAAAAACCAAAACACAAAAACAGGTGTCGATGTTATATGTTAATTCAACTGTGAAGTGATTTTTAATTGCAGCTAGAACTTTTGATAATGCATAAGTGGATTGGATCAGTATTTGTTGGGAATAAGACTTTGACCTTGTTCATTTATGTCCTTTTGTTCTACATCAGTATTTCGCAAAGGGTGTCCTACAGATGTTTATGGGAATTATGGATGATGAGGATTTTGTGATCTGTTGCGGGAAGTCAGGGACCCCGAATGGAGGGACCGGCTGAAGCTGTGACAGAAGAACATAAATTGTGAAGATATCATGGATATTTATTAGTTCCCCAAATTAATACTTTTATAATTTCTTACGCCTGTCTTTACTGTAATCTCTGAACATAAATTGTGAAGATTTCATGGACACTTATCACTTCTCCAGTCAATACCCTTGTGATTTCGTAAGCCTGTTTTTACTTTAATCTCTTAATCCCATCATCTTCTTCGTAAACTGGGGAGGATAAATGTCGCCTCAGAACCCTGTGATGATTGTGTCAACTGCACGAATTGTTTGTAGAGCATGTATGTTTGAACAATATGAAATCTGGGCATCTTGCAGGATAACAGCAATGCTCGGGGAACACCAGAGATAAGACTTCTGGCCACCAGTGAGCCGGACAGAACAGAGCCATATTTCTCCTCTTTCAAAAGCAAATAGGAGAAATATCGCTGAATTCTTTTTCTCAGCAAGGAACATCCCTGAGAAAGAGAATGCACCCTGAGGGTAGGTTTGTAGACGGCCCCCTCAAGGCATACCGTCTTTTGTGGTCGAAGCCGAAGGGACAAAATAAGCCCCAGTCTCCTGTAGCGCTTGCAGGTTTATTAGGATGAGGAAAATTCCCACGTAATACATTTTGGTCAGACAGATTGTCTACTCTCAAACCCTGTTTCCTGATAAGATGTTATCAATGGCAATGCATGCCCGAAACTTCATTAGCAGTTTTAATTTTGCCCCATCCGGTGGTCCTGTGATCTCACCCTGCCTCCATTTGCTTTGTGATATTTTATTACCTTGTGAAGTCTGTGATCTCTGTGACCCACACCCTATTCGTGCACTCCCTCCCCTTTTGAAAATTGCTAATAAAAACTTGCTGGTTTTACGGCTCGGAGAGCATCATGGATCCTGCCGACATGTGATGTCTGCCCTGGACACCCAGCTTTAAATTTCTCTTGTGCTCTTTCCCTTTATTTCTCAAACCAGCCAAGACACTTAGGAAATAGAACAGAACTCATGTAACTATTGGGAGTGGATTCTCCCGATAGTGATCTGATACAATACAGGTCCACAGAATGTGGACTGTGGACCAGGGACTGGGCCAGTCACAAATTGTTACTGGTTTGTGACTAAATAAGATATTAAGAGTAAGTATTTATGAACTTCTATACCAATTTAGGGAAGCAATTTTACATATATTGAATCTAATAATTTAAGAAATGTGAGGTCATAGCCTATATGTCTTCATTTTGAGAATTCAATTTTCTCTAACAGTTTTATTGCATGATATCAGAAAATGAAACCACAATAGACCGAATATTAAAAAATAAATTAGTTCTTCACCATAAGTAATTTGGGAAGCACTGATTTAATATATTTAAAACATGCTAAATTCAAAGAGTTAAATAATTTCAAAATTTTTGCTGATGGACTTTTCAGAACTTTGGGGTGAAATCTGTTTATGGTATTTACTAAACTTATTTGACCATAGCTGCCTCTTTTCAGAGCATACCTTTGAGGACTATTTATCTGAGCAACATATCTTTGGTTTTGTTTTAGTTTTTTAAGGAGCCAAAGTCAGCTGGGCACAGTGGCTCATGCCTGTAATCCCAGCCCTTTGGGAGGCCAAGACCAGTAGATGGCTTGAGCCCAGGAGTTTGAGACCATCCTGGGCTACATAGTGAGACCCCCTGTCAACAAAAAATATAAAACTTATCTGGGCATAACGGCACACACCTGTAGTCTCAGCTACTCGGAGGCTGAGGTGGGAGGATGGATTAAGCGTGGGAGATTGAGGCTCCAGTGAGCTGTGATCACACCACTACACTCCAACCCGGATGGCAGAGCAGGACCCTGTCTCAAAAATACTAGTAATAAAAGTAAATTTAAAAGGAGCCAGAGTCTTACTATGTTGCCCAGGCTGGTGAGCAATGGCAATTCACAGGCTTGACGATGGCACACTGCAGCCTCCAACTCCTGAGTTCAAGTGATTCTCTGGCCTCAGTCTGGGTATCTAGGACTAAAGGAGCTTGCCACTGCATCCAGCCTGAGCGCATGTTTTGAGAAAAGCTACTGTATTTTATATCACCCTGTAAAGGCAAATTTGCTTTTTAGTGATTGTTGCCTATTTACCTCTTGATTTTGCCACTTAACTTTGCAGATGGAATAATGGGACTGCAGTGGAATAAAGGAAGAAATATAATTTCAAATTTTGATGTAGAAAAGTAAAGAGAATATTTTTGCAAAGCCGGTAACTTTACTCTTGTCCTCTTTCCATCCCTGATGCCCTGTAGAACTGGATTTGTTCAGATAGATGACTTATCCTAATAAGTTTTTATATTATGTACAAAACTATACTTTAGTCCTTTTTGCTTGTTTCAGTTTTGTTAAGAGTCATAAGGAGTTATTTACACTGGAATTATTTTAACAGGGACCCAGAACACAAAACTTAAACTTCATTTCAAATTCTAGAATTTGGGCTCAGGTGTGTAGTCATGAGCTCTGCCTAACAGTGTTTGGCCTAATGATGGACTGCATATAGGATGGTGGCCGTGAGATTACAATGGAGCTGACAAATTCCTATCACGACATCATGGCAGTCCTAACATCCTAGTGCAATGCATTACTTTTTCTATATTTAGATACCTAAATACTTACCATTGTGTTACAGTTGTCTACAGTATTTGGTAAAGTAACATGTACAAGTTTGTAATCTAGCTGCAATAGGCTCTATCGTATAACTTAGGTGTGTAGTAGGCTCTATGTTCTAGGTTTGTACAAGTATACTCTATAATATTCACATAATGATGAAATCGCCTAAAGACCCATTTCTCAGAGTGTATCCCCATTGTGAAGTGATGTATAACTCTATATCCTCCAGGATGCAGATTGTCTTGTAAATAAACATATTAGGCATAGATTGAGCTTAGGTTCTACTAGGAACTTAAAAGAAGAAGTGATATATACACATCAAGTAAACTGAAAGCCTAAAGGTTAAAAATGACAAGGTTTGCTTGCAATAAAGAATACATAACAAGCCGTGTGTCCTGAGTACTTGGATTCAGCATCTCTGATCTTCCTTTGCGCTCTTGACATGACGCTTGTATATTTAGCTTAGTAATTCATGGCAGCTCATTATTTCTTCATCTTTTACAACAGAATGTTTTATTGAAAGGTCATGGTCTAACATAATTTAAATTTGCAGTGCGTTCCCTATCATTTTAGCAATTGACACCTGAGCCAGCTATTGCAGAGAGTACATTCTGGACTGTAGAAATCTCTGTATTTGCATTTAGCATGTTGTGCCTTTGACTATTACATGTAATCCAGTGTCATGCCTACCAGCTGCTGGTGGCTGGTTTGGTTAATCTTCAGACTGCACGTACTGTGGTTTTATTCTCTCTGATGAATGTAAATCACCCTCTTCACAAGCAAATGCTTAACATTTCTTTGTTGATTTTCTTACAGCTAGTTTATATGGTTTTATGATGGACTGATTTTTATTTATTTATTTACAAATCGAATTAGGGGAAAACACCTATACTTCTCTAAGATTCGTACCATGCCCAATTCCAGGGATTTAGAGAAAGTACAGTACTGTCTTCCTATATTTCCTGTATTCACTTATTTAATTGGCAATCCCCAGAGCAGGGTAGGTAAGAACACAGACTCTGGAGTTGGATTGTCTGGACTTAAGGCCTTGTTCCACCAAAGAAATGTTGCTGGAGTCACTCAATTCCCCTGAACCCTAGGTTTTCTTCTCCTTAGTAAAATGAGGATCAGAATGTATTTTCTTCATGGAGTTATTGTAGGGACTAACAGGATATTGATAAAGCCTTTAACAACATATGTCTGACAGAGGAAGCATAGTGTAGGTTTTTTTGTTTGTTTGTTTAATAAATATATCGTGGGAGGGTGAACAGCTTCATTTGTTTAAATCTTTAGAAGTTCCAAATAACAAATAAGCAAGAAATTATTCCAGAATATCCCTTATTTCAGGTTGAGGAGTGATTTAATGAAATATGAATTTTGGGTGCTGTTTCTGTGATTTTTTAACGTAAATTGTTGACAATGACAACTTACTTTAGACTTCCATCATCATCATCTGTGTATTGCACAGTACTGCAAAATTGGGACACTCTCAGAACAGCACAGCTTGGCGGATCATGCCTGCCAGATGCCCCTCAAATGTGATCAGTGTTACCAAAGGTTCAATTTCTTGTTTAGTTTTTATTATTTTCCAAATTTCAGATCTTAGTTTCTGAATAAACAGTTCACATTTTAGAAATAATTGATTTAAGGATTTTTAATCAATGTATAATACACATTCATAGAATTTATTTCTTTGGAAGTTAGCAAAAATATAGTGACACTACAATGATATTTTTTCCCCAGCCAAGTATTTTTCCTGAAAATTATTTTTAGATGATGTAGTGTGCTTGTGTATGTATGTGGCAAAGGGTGGGACGAATAGTAGGGACCCAGGACACAGGGATGGGGAGGAAAGCAATATGGAAGGGAGACAAATAACTGATAAGGGGAGAGGTGGAATTTTTGTCCAAGACAGCAAGTTAGTTTCTCATACCTCTTTTCCTCTTCCTCCTCCCGCTCCCTCCCCTCCCTTCCTCACCCATCCCTTCCTCTCCCCTGCCCTCCCATTTTGTCCTTCCTTCCTTCCTTCCTTCCCTCCCCTCCTCC